ACGTGAGCCAGGAAGACCCCGATGTCAAGTTCAACTGGTACGTAAACGGCGCAGAGGTGCATCATGCCCAGACGAAGCCACGGGAGACGCAGTACAACAGCACATATCGTGTGGTCAGCGTCCTCACCGTCACGCACCAGGACTGGCTGAACGGCAAGGAGTACACGTGCAAGGTCTCCAACAAAGCCCTCCCGGCCCCCATCCAGAAAACCATCTCCAAAACCAAAGGTGGGACCCGCGGGGCGCGAGGGTCATGTGGACAGCGGCCGGCTCGGCCCACCCTCCGCCCTGGGAGTGACCGCTGTGCCAACCTCTGTCCCTACAGGGCAGCCCCGAGAGCCGCAGGTGTACACCCTGCCCCCGTCCCGGGAGGAGCTGACCAAGAACCAGGTCAGCCTGACCTGCCTGGTCAAAGGCTTCTACCCCAGCGACATTGTCGTGGAGTGGGAGAGCAGTGGGCAGCCGGAGAACACCTACAAGACCACGCCGCCCGTGCTGGACTCCGACGGCTCCTACTTCCTCTACAGCAAGCTCACCGTGGACAAGAGCAGGTGGCAGCAGGGGAACGTCTTCTCATGCTCCGTGATGCATGAGGCTCTGCACAACCACTACACCCAGAAGAGCCTCTCCGTGTCTCCGGGTAAATGAGTGCGACACCCGGCAAGCCCCCGCCCCCCGGGCTCTCGGGGTGGCGCGAGGATGCTTGGCCCGCACCCCGTGTACATACTTCCCAGGCGCCCGGCATGGAAATAAAGCACCCAGCGCTGCCCTGGGCCCCTGCGAGACTCTGATGGTTCTTTCCGCGGGTCAGGCCGAGTCTGAGGCCTGAGGGGCATGAGGGAGGCACAGCGGGTCCCACTGACCCCACACTGGCCCAGGCTGTGCACGTGTGCCTGGGCCACCTAGGGTGGGGCTCAGCCAGGGGCTGCCCTCGGTGGGGCTGGGGGCTTTGTCAGCGAGGCCCTCCCTCCAGCAGCAGCTGCCCTGGGCTGGGCCACCAGAAGCCTAGGAGCCCCCCTGGGAACAGGCACACAGCCCCTGCCTCTGTAGGAGACTGTCCTGATCTGTGAGCTCCCTGTCCTCAGACCCCCTGCCCACTCGGGGGCATGCCTAGTCCATGTGCGTAGGGACAGGCCCTCCCTCACCCATCTGCCCCCACGGCACTAACCCCTGGCAGCCCTGCCCAGCCTCACACCCGCATGGGGACATAACCGACTCATGGGGACATGCACTCTCGGGCCCTGTGGAGGGACTTGTCCAGATGCCCACACACACACACTCAGCCCAGACCCATTAAACCCCGCACTGAAGTTGGCCGGCCACACAGCCACCACACACACACACACACACACACACAC